CTTTGCCTCTAACGACCCCGAACACCTTTGTTGTTGCTTTTGTTTTTTCTGTGGCGCCCGGCATTCCCTTCGCCAAGGCTCGCAGCTGATACCCGTTCAGCGCCGGAGATTTCTCCAACTGCAGTCATCGCAGCAAGATCTTACCCAGCTCAAGTCTACAAAGACTGCAGTGAACGGCAAGCGAATGGCTTTAGGATGCAAGACTGGCCACCAAAAAGGCTATGAAACTGGGGAACACCAAACAGCGCCGCGAAACATGGACCTCTCCGATATCCACTCTATCAATCGCCCATATCGCCTGTCCTGTCCTTCAAACTACCAAAGGTGGCATATCGGTCCCTGAGACACCAAACCGTGACACCGTGGACACCCCAAACAACCACGTCGGCCGTCCTCACCCGGTCGCCGTGGTTTCACCCTGCTCCACTCCGCCTCCAAGAAGTCCATCATGTCGCCCGCGTGTTGTAAGGCCTCGGGTTCACGAACCAAGGTGCTTAGGAACGAGAGTCCAACGGGTGCCATGGAGCACAGGTTTCGGCGAAACACCGACCACGGGTAAGGGTGTGGGCGCGGGTAAGGGTGTGTTATCGCACCACTGATTCTTCTGTCATCGTACATTGCTGTGACGAACGGTGGTGAGAAAGATTTAGCCACCAGCCAGGCAGCCACCAAAGCAGGAGAGGTCCAGGGGTCTACACATAAGAAACCTCACCTTGCACCCATGAACACAAAAGGAACTCAACCACAAAGCCACACACATGGATCCAAGGTAGCGTGGCAGGAATGCCCTGCAAGATTGAGAACCTAAGAGGCCAACAAAAAAGGGCAACACAAATGCGAAACATTCGTGCCTATGAGTTTGCTCTCAACATGGTCGTTATTCAATAAGGCGGCGTCTACAAGTAGATGATGTAAGCGTCATTGAGTGGTTTCGTGGTGGTTTCATGGGTTTCTCCAAGGACTCCTGACCTATAGGTGGTATAAACTCGACATCACCTGAACCCTTGGAGCTGAAAACGGTGTGAAACATTGATCCAGCTGAAGTAATTGAGTCTGAGAAGGGAGGTAACACCAATACCAAACAGCTTATGTCGGGCGCCTCTCATCAAACAGAAGCGTTGCCGCGTTTCCAGTCAAGACTACATTCATCAATGAGCAGCAAGGCTAGATAGGGAGCAGCACATGATTTAAACATGGCCCTGTCAACAACCGAGAGAAGGGGCCAGCTTGGAGCCAAACAAGTCCCAGAAATTAACAAATCAAATGAGGCGCGAGCTTCATCCAAAATTGAATCCCCAGCAAAAGCACAATTCATCCAGCAAACAGCAAAATGCGGTCTCTCCACCAGAAAGGCCAGCTGGGGCCTCTGGCACAGCTGTATTCCTTGACCGCCTGACGAAACTCGCCTTTTTCCATGGCCATGTTCCCCTGGCGTGGGGGGTGAGACACTGGATGCCACGAATAAACTAAGCGCCGCATGAAAAGAGGAGGGAAAGCATTTGGGACAACGCATGGAAAAACGAACAGGAAAAAGCCACACACGAGTCACTCGCTGGAGAAAAAACAGAATTGATTGCTGAAGATAACTCTCGTAGCTGTAGACCTGCATCAATTCAGTATTCCAACACCACGAATTCTCAACAACCCACCTGAGTCTTAAACATTCTTAAACCAATCAACCATGGTCACAGATTGCACACTGACTTTCACACCAAGAAAACCACGACTCTTTGGCGTGTTTTGGGGGATGAAGTATGAAGTGGCAAGCCCAATTCTTTCACGAGCAAAATCACATAATGCAAGGACTCCACTCAACCGCAACTGAAGCATCACTGGTCATCGCAGTTGCCTGCGTCTTTCGCCTCACAGCATTCTCCTGGCAGTTTGCAAAACACAGTCTGGTCGTCTTGTTGCGAGGCATGGCACGCATGCATGTTTTTTTCGGATAACGTGCTGTTGTGGGAATTGAGCACGTGGCTGATCTTGATTTAGTGCTGCAACATTCATATTGAAGACGGAAATGGCCTCTTTCGATCTTCAGCAAATGCATATTAATATAATATATAATATATATATACACATAACAATGATAACAATTTCTAGTCATCTGAGCTGCAAGCTGACCAGCTCTACGGCGGTGCCTCCATGGACTTCAAGATGGATCTCAACTCCATTTCATGCAAGGCCTGGCAGCGCTACCGGAAGCCTGCCTCAGCACACCTTAACAATCACCATTAAATAGCTAGACTATGATAGACTCATTAGATCTCATTACTGGTAGCTTTATATTTATTGTGTAGTTTCTTCTCTTGCCCAACCCGTTTCTGGACAATTACAAGACTTCAAATCTTCAAAGCCACCAAAGCCTTCAAATACCACCTTTTTGTTTCAGCTACCAAGAAAAATACAATAGAAACAACTCACCCATAGACAACAATAGCCTTGGGTCCTCACCTTCATTCGAAGCAGGGCTGCTGAGGCAGGACCCTGATCATCACTGGCCGGCCTCACCAGGAAGGAACTTGTTGCGTCAATTCATGTCGATTTTCTTCTCCAATCCATTTTGGGAAGAGTACCACGTCCTTTGAGCGACGTGGTGTCTTCAGGTTTTGGGCGGGGTGGGGCGGGCTGGGGTCTTCCTCAACAAAGGGAAGGTGAAGTTACTGCCATCGGCACCGGACTCTACACGCGTGTGAGCACGCTTCTGAGCCCGGGGTGGACGATTGATGTCACATGGTTCGAACAGGATTTTCGGTTGCGGGTTCCAGCGGGTGAAGAAAATTCCCTTGCTCGACTGAACTAATCCGCTCCGCAGAACGGTGGTTCATTCCTCCTGGCTGACAGGGCCTTCATCTGCTTGGAATTCCCTTCTCCCATCTTCTCCCCTAATGAATCTACGGTGGTCTCCCTGTCAAACGTCGTCACGGCCAATGGGGAAAGCCCGGTGTCCGCCTGAGGCCATCTTCGCTCGCATGGAAGATGGACAGGCTCTGCATGGCTATGGGCACCAAAATGTGCTCCGAAAAATGGGTTTCGTGCAGCCTGATCCACCTGCTTTCTTCAATCATGAAATTCATGATTGAAGTCTTGGTTGAAGCACTTCAACACATGTGCATGGAGTCGCGACCAATTGGCTTTGGGAGCTGTCTATGGCATGGCTGCTTTTGACGACAAAGCCTTCTCCAAGGCTCGGCTTGGCTTTTTGAGCATAGTGCACTGCAAGCCTATATATTTTCATTATATAATTCCTAGTCTCAACACAGACTTTTGAGCAACAAAGGCTCTGCGAAACAAATTTCACAAAATGTGTTCATATCATTTCATATCTCTGGCAAGAAACTTCTCCTTAAGACCACGATGAGACCATGTTAAGACCCCCATGGCCGTTTCAAACAGATCTGCTGCACCCGGACATTGACCATTTCATCGAAGCTTCGGTCCGCACCTTCGACCGGAGGAGCCGAGTCCTGCGTGGCCGCGCGCCACGTGGCGCTCTGATTCCTCATCCCGACAGCGTCAAAGTGCGTTCTCCACGCTCTTCACCAGCACCTGACCTGTAAGATCCTGGGAGAGATCCTGCAGGACCTGCACCCTTGAGGGCCAAACCTGGAGATACACCTTTCAGAATTCCAGTCAGTGATGGGCCTCTGCCTTCTTCAAAAATAAAGACTCAGGCAAGAATGGTCTGATTCCAAGGCTACGGACCTAACTAGCTGCCCGACCAACAAGCTGCTGAACATGACTCGTCCCAGTCACTGCCCCACCCGTTTCGCCTCTTGCGACTGGCCTCAGCAAGGCTAGCTCCACCCCGTCACCAGCGATCGCAGCTCGTCACCAGCGCTCTCATCACCGAGTCCCGCAGTTTCAACGTCTTAAAGTAGTAACAAGTGCCACGCTAGTAGTAACAAGTGCCTCACTAGTAGTAACAAGAAGCTACTAGTAACAAGTGCCACGCTAGTAGTAACAAGTGCCTCACTAGTAGTAACAAGAAGCTACTAGTAACAAGTGCCACGCTAGTAGTAACAAGTGCCTTACTAGTAGTAACAAGAAGCTACTAGTAACAAGTGTCATGCTAGTAGTAACAAGTACCTTCGATCAAATCAATCGTGCCAGTCGACCAACTCTTTTTGTGCGTTTATCGACCAACGTCTCGCTCGGTGTCTCGTTGTATCTTAAGATTTGTACGGTGCTATTATACATGTTCATGGTACGTTGTAGTAGGGAAGGTTTGGTTGTGATTCCAGTCTTTCAAGGCAATCCATCATCAGTCTCTTGATTTTGTGTCAAATACTCGGTTCACCGCTTTTGGACTCTGGCTGCGCCTTTCATATGATGAGCGTGAGGTCCGGGACAGGTTGTATGCAGTCCGTTGGTGGTGTACATAACCAAACAAACAGTTGGATAACAAGACATCATCCAAAGCACTACCCATCAAGGCATGCACAGGGGCCTTTGATACTAGTATATGGACAGATCATTAATATACAGTACCCCATGTTAAACCCCAAAAATCCTGCCACGGCTATCAACCACCCTTCTGAGTGGTTCTTTCTTGATGGCCTGCTGATTTTTGGGAAGGAACGAGAGTTGCATGGATAAACAGCACTTTGCTAGCTTACACAAAGGACCTGCACAAACAATTATCTTATGTCCCAATCAATTCTACTGGGTCCCTATCTATCGTGGTTCTTTGGTTTCTGCACACCGTCACTGAACAAAATGGATGAACACGGAAGCACCATTCAAACAAAAACGCCATACATCTTCAAGTCCCCATGTACTTGGGGGAACCCCCCCACCACCGCAGATCGTTCTGCTGGCCTCGTGGGGGAAGCTCTGGGAACCTGGACCCGAGATCGGCCCGTTGGAGTCGTGTCACCGGGAGTCACGGCCGGCCTCGCAGCTCGGTCACCCGTGTTTTTCGGATGAAGAGTCGGGGGGTGGCTTGGAATCCCCAGTGAACTTACAACTTGAATTAACTTGAGCAACTTTAAAGGTTCCTTCAGCCTCAGGATCACGATCCACAGCTCTTGCATTTTTGCCGCACCCGTCGCGACATGCACCTCCTTCAAGTGTAGGCGAATTTGCTCTGGTGTGGAGGAGCATTGCGTCTGCGCGCGAACGCTTGCGGCGAATGGCGAGGACCGGATTGGATGCTTCGAGGTGCCCGTCTTTAAGAACAGGTTGAACAGCAGGAGCCATGACCTCTTGATCAGGCTGCCGGGTGTTTTCTGGGATCAAAAATCCCAGAAAAAAGACAGGTTGTGTCCAATGTTTGCATCACGCAATGAGTGTGTCAACGAAGCCATCCACCCCACCTGCACGGAGTGAAGCCGAAGCTCATTCAAAGGAACCAGAATGGGCCTCGGGGAAGCAAGGGAACTGAGATGGAAAGCGGCTTCGGCCTTCCTGGAAAGCGGGGTCCAACGTCCAGTAAAGCGGAGAATGGAAGACGAACAAAAACGATCAAACACATGTTTTTTCCTCAAGATGAAGCGTGTCACTTGATAGTACCTACAGGATCTTATATAGGATCCTATAGGCATTCCTATAGGCCAGGCCTGGGCCCTAGCAACGTCTTTGGGGTCAAAGAACACTTTTGAAGATTTGGGTCTTCGAAGGACGAAGAGGTCGTCTGTGAGATGCAGTGGCCCAAGGACCAGAGATGCGTGGTGTGTTCATAAGCAAGACCAGTCATCGAATGCGTCCAGCACTGAAACCAGTCACTGAATGAATATTTCTTGACTCAATGACTCGTTCCAGTGCAAAGCGTTCGATAAGGAAAATACAACATCAAGGTAGTACATGTTGAATACATCTCTCCATTAAGTCTCAGACGTTTCCTGACAAACTCCAGGATGTATCATTGTAAAAGTAAACCTTTGGATGCTGTATCAGATCCAGTTACCTCTTGGCAAAGACAACACATCCTTGAAATCTGAAGCATTTGGTCTAAACTCAGATTCGCCTTTGACTTGTTTTCTTCCTCAACGCCAAACACGGCGCCCAGTCGCTGAACAAAACACCGCTCCAGTCAGCAGAGCCCGTCCAACAGGTCCGGTCGACTGGTCCTTCTCCCAGCGGCGTCTTGGGACAAATCCGTCGTCTTAGGTCGAAGAACCTCGTCATGACACCTGGGCAGCGACGCTGCCGCTCTGCCGGTCTGCGGCCAAGCAGAACATCGCAAGTTTGGTGAATGATGGGGAGGGGAGGGGGAGAGATGTTAATCCTTCTGGCCAGTACAGCTAGGAAGCTGACAGGTACAAAGTGCAGGTGACGTTCACTTCTGCTGTGCCAGTACATCCCACAACACCAAGGAGCGGCCCATCTGTACCATCTGTCACCTGAAGAGGAGCTGAGACTTCCGTGCGTTCCAAGTCTTCGAGCGTCCAACTTCGAGCTTGTTGCACCTGCGAGCCACTCCACCCATCGGCGCGTTTTACTTTTCGAGTATGGAAAATTCAGTTCCAGGGTCCATTGGGTCCAAGATAGCTTCTTGTTACTAGTAGCGATTGCTTCCAAACTAATCGCAATGGCCTCCACCCAGTAGCTTCTTGCTACTAGTAGCTTCAGTAGTGCACAAAAAGCAGTTTTTTCTGTGGCGTTCTTCCCACTCCTTCTTCTTCTTCAAGCTTTCTGGGGTCAGTGGCCGCAAGCTGTTCAGGGCGAGCTCCAACAAAAACCCACAGCATCACATAAACCCCAAAAGAACATCAATACCGAAAACCCACCAACACCCTCAGAGCTGGTTTTGGTCAGAGCTGGTTGATGGCCTCCGTCACCATCGGATGGCCCAAACCAGCTCTGTTCGAGACGAGGATCGCCTCGAGCTTCGTGGCACGCATCACCGGCTCGTCCGCCGTCCTGGCGGAACGACGGCGGAACAACGTCTGCCGACCCGGTCCGAGCGGACGAGCGGCAGAAACCGACCTGGCAGGAACTGGCGACCGGGTCGGTTGAGATATCAAAGAGACGACATGTCGCTTTTTCGAGGTCGACATGACTACAGCAGGTGTCCATTTCATCAAGAAGTCAACAGGAGGTGGAGTGTCTAGGAGTGTCTAGAAGTGTCGACAGCGATGCGAAGTTAAGAAACGAACTAACCATCACCAAACCAACCTCGCCGGATCCACGGCCAAAGCCAACTGCTCGGGTCTGATGGAATCAAATCTCGGCTTCTGCGCCCTGCACAGACAGTGTGTCAAATCCAAGACGGAGCCAGACACTGCTGCAACATCAGAATTTCTCCACTTGATGCTAGGTTGTTTGTTTTGGTTGTTTCCATTTTTGCCGTGGCTTGTACTGGGTTGGTGGAATACAGATCTGGCTAGGTTTCACTCAAGTTTCAAGGGGCACTGCCATGGATTTCTGCGGCTCACTTCAACAGCGTGGCGGTCGATTCTGAGTACGCTACGCTTCGAAATCTGCTCCAACCAAAAGCGGATACCAGCCTGCAACATTGCAAACACACATATCATATATATATATATCGGCTGTATATCGGCTCTCTAATCCTGGTTCATACATTTGACTGGCTTTTTAGCCCGCAAGACAAACGGGGAAGATCGAATAACTACTGCTTCGTCTGTCAGGCCGGGCTGGTTCATTCATTTTGATTAAGAGTCCTTCAGTATGTGGATCTAAATCTACACAATCCTTTAAGCAAAAATAATTTATGGATATGTTTTTAAGCACTCTTTTCCATGACTTCCAGGTTTCTTGAATCACATTGCTTTGGAATTTCGGCGACTGCGGGCATGTGTTCGGGCACATAAAGATATGGGGAGGACGGCACAAAAAGAACCAGCCATTCCAGTGCTGGCTGTTTACACGTAAAACCAACATCTCCAGTGCTAGAGTTGCGAAAGCCCAACTTGTAAAGCCCAGGAACGCCCAGGAAAGTGGGGAAGACCGACTACTGACAGCCTAGCTGTCAGGCGAAAGGCAGCGGACTGGACTTGACTGGAGTGGACTGTTGGAGGGTGAAGCAGTGAAGGTGTGACTCTCTCTCTCTGAGCTCACATGGCTCTCACAAAGAGGAAAGCAGAACAGCCCTGGTAGCTTTTCTGCAGGAACTCCGTCAATCTCTGCAACTATCAAGGCTCAGGACCCTGGCTAGTGCACTTCATCTGGAGCTTTTATCTGTACAAGTTGCCCCGCAGCCCGGGCTGCCCGGTCCAAAATCAGTGTTAAATCATGCATTTGATGCTGCATCTCTCAGAAAGGCCTCTAAGCCGTTCCTCCAATCTCTCTTCTTTTGCGAGTTCTCCAACATCTGCTGCAGCAAATGGGGCTATCAAGGCTCAGGACCCTGTCTAGCCACTGCAGCAAATACAGGTTTCAGTTTTCACTGCGAATACGCAGGGAATCCGACCATGGAGTCTGTTTGAAGGCCACACTCAAAGACCAAGACGGGCTCGGTGTCGTGGTCCTTAGATCGTCTCCAGCACGTCTCTATCTCAAGTACATGATTGGTCAATTGGGGACAACAAACTCTCGACAATGGTATGTAAAATCTGTGTAAAGATACAACACAAAAATAGATCTCAAGTCAAACTACCTGTTCCATCTCTTGTTCGTCTTCACGATCCATTTCTCTTCTTGGACTTTGCACATCTGTTGGGCTTTCCTTCTTCAGCCTGGGTCGGCCAGCCTTCTTGAGGTTTTCACGCAAAGCTTGCATGATGACGACGCCATCCTCTTGGAGTGCCAAGATGTTACTGTCCCTGCAAAGCTCGTATCCTGAGTTGCAGAAAACATGCATCTGCAAACATTGGTTGAATGACCTCCACAGGCTTGTGCCTTAATCAAGCTGGGAAAAGAAACCACGCCATGATGGACTTTCCCAGAGTCAAACCTAAGACTCCTAAGACTTTAAACTCAAAAACCATCAACACAGTGCTCCTATAGGCTTTGTGTCATGTTATGAACCATATTTCAATGAAAATCACCTGTCCGAGACTTTGAGCCGCACAAAAACCGAAGAAAAATACACAGCTGCCACAACATCCAACCTAAGAATCCGTGAGCTGCCAAGCCCAGTAGTTCACCTGCTTGTGCCTCCGTGCATGGCACAAAGAGCGCTTTCACCGGACTCCATTGAGGCTTCACCTGAGTCAGCGTTCACCTCATCAGCCCAACTTCCGACGAACAAGGAAGGACCGGTCAAATCAAGGCTCAAACAAAGCCTTTAAGAGGAGAGAGGTACTTTAATTGGGCCTTCAAGTACAACAAATACATACAATACTAGCTGCAGGTCTTTATCTGTTTGATTCCCGCCTCACAGCCAGCTTCCAAAACACGTGCGTGCAGTGCTTGCAATGGGCCGCTGGCATCTAACAGCAGCTTGTTCACGTGGACGGCGGTAGCCATCCGGGTGAGGCGGAATAAACCTCAAATGGGTTGGATGTGCATGTTGAACAGCGGGGAATTAAAACATGGCAAACATGTGTTCATATTTGTTTTTTTTTCGATAACATCAATCAAGGCTGCAGAACTGACTTACTCTTGTAACTGTGTAAATTCACAAATCACTTTACTTAGTTGAACAAAACGACTGCAACCCAACGACATATTCACCCAGGAGACACACCCCGTCGACGTTCAGGGCAGGTGGGCCATCATGGCGGCTTTCTTGGATCGCCCGTAGGGTTTGGTCAGTCCTTGGTGCGTTCTTGCCGGTGAGTCATGGCTGGCCCAAGCACCAGAAAGGCCAAGGTTTTGTTCACGGAAACACATGGGGCACATGAGTGTGGGGCTCAAGGGTGTGGAGACCTCCCAGTTGAACGCCCTGGAAGAAGGACACGAACAAAAACTAGACCCAAACCATCCCAAGCCCAGCCCTGGCTGGGGGTCTCCAGAAATCAAACTTCAAGCCGACATGAAAACCATGCGTTGACTGGAGCCATGTAGCCCTGATTAGCCCTGTGTCTTCTAGCTTTCAGCGGCGCCTTCAAGACTGATGTAGATAGCATGTCCAGTATTCTGTTGATCAATCAACCGAAATTGTTTCAAAAAGTAATCAATCAACTGTCAACATCACGTTGTACTGTACCCTGTCTGGTGTTCTGACAAAAGATGTTGTTCTGAGTCCAAAAAGAGCTTAAGAACACTTCGAGATTCTCATCCTGCTTCGGCTTTCCCGACTCTCCAAATGATGAGCTTTGGAGGCGATCGCCATCCTCATTCACTCCATCCACCAATGGAATCGGATGGTCTCTGGTCGTCAGACGTGATACCGACTTGCGGTGCCAAAAGTCCGACAAATACCTTGGACGTCCGGAGGTGATCGGACGGCATCGCTACTAGCACCTTTTCATCGTCCGGATTTCATGGTCTTTCCTTTCCATGTTCATCATTATTGTCCACTTCCATGTTGGTTCCAGGTATCTTTAATAGGGAGATCCCGGGGATTATGTGGGGCCCCAACCGTGTTTGGTCTATGTTCCGAACCCTGTTCAAAGGGGATCAAAGGGGGTCACACCCCGTATCAAAAAGCGATTTTACACATGAACAACGGTGCTAGCACAACGATGATTGCTAAATCGACGGTCAACCAAAACAAACATTGTAAAACCAAAGCATATGTATAATACATAATATATGCAAATCTGGGATACCAGAACTGCACATCCTTCCAAAGATCCAAGTGATACAGAATCTCTGGTACTTCCATTGAATAGGCTACCACTTGATCCACCAAGGACATGGGAAAAGAACTTCCAGCCGACAGCTTCCGGAAGACCTGGTACATGGCGATACCAGTCCTGGCTGCTGGTGACCAATCTGAAGAACCAAGAACATCATGCACACACCGTCAGTCACACATTGTGACAATCATTGTGACAAGCATTGAATCATTGAACATGAACCAACGAACTATTCTTGGAGTCTTGCATGAACCAAACAACCACAAACAGACCGAATATGAACCAAATATTTTTGGAGATCTGAACAAGATTCTGCATGATTTCAGATCTCCAAGAGCGCTGCAAAGCAGCACAAGCACCGGCCACAGCGGCTGACTTCCGTGCTGGGTCACTCCACTCGGGCCGAAAGCGGATGCCCCACGTTGAGAGCTCGGCGCAAGGCAGGGATGCGAGCAACGCCGCAGTGTCAGAATCACCTGAAGGCGTAAAGCATCGTAAAGCGTTTAGCCTGGCCAGTACCAACTGTTATATACCACTTTTGACGCTTTGGTGCACTTCCACAATACGGTCATCATCCTGCAACAGGTACCGGTCAATAAAATTTGATAGATAAGCCGAAGCAACCTAAGGAAATGGCCACATCCAGAAGGGTCCAGTGGAGGATACGATCAGGCGTGTGCGACGACGGGCAAAGCCAAACTGCTTGTACGCCCAGGCTGTTGACCTCCATCCCCGCAATCTTGGCAAGCCTGAGATGGCTCTTGCTCAATCCAGCCTTCTGTTCTCTATCTTCGAAGAAAAAGACTCCCAAGTGGTTTCCCTCTTCTGGAATCCAATTGCTCTGCGCTGGAGGAAGAAGGTCTGCAACTTCTGGCAACGAACTACCATAGAACAGAGTGAGTGCTTCTGGGAAAGGAATCTTTGCACTCCACAAGTATTTGACTGTGATCACAGTGTTCCAGAGGCACTGAAACTCCTTGATGACCAAGAGAGCTGCAAGTAAAGATCGTAAAGCTGCAGACAGTTGAACGGTGCGTGGCCAAAAGATCCTCCAAACCCCGTGGCCAATCTCGTCGCTCGACACGGGAATCTCCACACTCGACACGGAACCCACTGCCTCTTCGACAAATGCACTCGACCTCCAACGCCTTAAAGGCCTCATGCGGCAAAGCCCACAACGGCATGAGACCACCTTGTGATCTCCCGTGAGCATTGCCAGGTCCAACAAATTTGCCATGGCCTGGTCCGAGATCTCGAAAGGCAGATCGATCAGCTCAGCTCCTTCAGAGTGAAAGACTTCGAAGATGCGGTGGAGGAGCGGCTTCTTGACCTAGCCAAGCCAAGCAGATTTCTTTCAAGTAACAATGAAGTTGGTGGAGGAATTACCTGTCATTCAGGGAAATCAAGAAACAAGGACGTAGGTTATAATTGTGAAAGCAAATTAAAAAAGAACATCCACTCCCAAGTCAGTTTCCAATCAGGTCACGGATATTCGGGCTGCCTGCTGAGCTGCTGCCAGCTCCATCTCAGCATCTTCCATCCAAAGGCCATCTTCGACGTCGAATCCGAAACAACAATGGTCGCAGCTCTGAAGACCTCCGGTGAAAAACACCCCTTTAACAACTCAAAAAATGTGTCAAGAACTCTTGGTATCTGTTGGTTTCTTCGAGAAGTTTACTTTCTTTATAATACTTTATGTTGGTGTACATAGAGTTTTTTTTAAATGTTTGTGAGATGTCTCTATTGTCAAAACAAAGATAGTGTTCATCCTGACCAAATGCGTTTCAGGACCCCCATCCAAGAGACCTCTGCAGGAGCACCGAAAGATGTAGGGAGAAGCCGTGCGCGCTGGACGTGGCTCTCGCTGAGCGAACACCCGTCCCAAATGATGAGCTTGCAACTTGCATCCTTTCACCTCCCGGGCCATTTGCCACGCCACATCAAAGTGACCAAAGGCCAGGCAAAGATCAAACAAGTGCACTGGTCCCCACCTCAGCTTCCAAGGAACGAACAGAGGGTCTCACCCACGACAGTTTCATGTAAAATCAATGTTTAACTCGCATCAGCGGCTTGACACCTCGAACACGCAGGGTCTTCCTTTTCCCCTTGCAAAAGTGATTCTTTGATCTTCTTCGCTTGTAGATATTCCATCAACCGAACATGTAAAGATTTCGATAGGATGTCGCTGTGCCATGCGGTTTAGTGAGGGCTTAGTGGAAAGTGCACAAATGTGTGGCTCAGTGCCATGGGGAACGGGACATATGCATGTGTAAATGTGACATGTGTCTTTGGTTCGCAGCACGATTGATGGTGATTCTAGTAACTTAGTGGGTAAACCTAATAAAACAACTCCACTTTGGATGAACAAAACTGATCATTCTCATGGAATTCTGGCTTCAAGAGTTGGATATCTTGATCCCTCAAACATCCTCTAAAATCATCTGTGGGGATGGGGAATGAAGCAGTATCAGCAAAACCCAACTCGGTGTTCTTCATGTTTCTGCCTCAGTCCGACATGCATTTCTTTAGCCCAGCCGCTGTGATGGCACCTGTCGGCCAAGCACATCAAAGTCACGCTTCTCCAGCAGTGCAGCCGCCACCTAAAATACCAGTGCGGGAGCCAAAGAGGCAAAGAACATAGTAAAACTAAGTCAAAAGAACCGCTAATGTTGAGCTATGACTTCTAATCTACCCATACATTCGCAGTAGACGCTTTCCACCCCAAAAAGCAAACATATTCTTCCCCAATGAACTATACTCATCCCTGCATCTCTATTCCAAAGACATCAGACCCTCCCCAACTCTGGTCTATTTAAGAGACACAACATGCACAGTGTCCGTTTACTCGCTAATATGGTGCAAAAGCATCGATGAGAACCCCCCCGTCATCGGTGTGACTGGCCACCGTTTGGGAAAAAATCAGATGGAAACCATCGATGAGCACCGGCCGAACCGGATCCATGACAAACGCGCCGGCGCCATTGGTCCCACCTGAAACTCTTTGACCTCCACCACTTCCTGGCCCTCATAGCGGAGCAGCTCCATGAAAAAGCTGCTGAAGGTCGCGCTGAACTCGTGATTTGGGCCGAAGCACATGGGGCTGCAGTTGGAGTTCGGTGGTCTTCTCTTTGCAGGTTGGCAGGTTGTATGACCCTGTGGAAAAAGACACGGTCCTCTAAGACGGGCCTGGGGGCCTTAGGCGCGCAGCATGAATGATGCATGACCCATCATGATCCCCTTTGAAGCGAAAGAAAAACAAATTGGGTTGTTTTGTTGAATGTGTTTGCAAGAATGGTTTACTTTGGTACACTATGTAGTTCTAGTAGTACATGATGTTTCAAGCATGTCCACATTATTTGTTTCAGTTTACAGTTTGTTTAAGAATGTTTGAGAGCTAACTTGCTATCGAAATTTGGTCAATGATTTAAGGACATCTAAGATCTTGATGGCGAGACAGTACCTCCTCATCTGGCGTCTCGTAGCCAATATGAAGACGGAACTCCTGCATGACATGGTGTGCAAAGGCATCGTGAGCCGGAGCAATGGGAATCAATCAGGCTACGGCCGAAACCAGGACATGGAGGCCCGTCACATGGTAGAAACAACGTGCACATTCAGGCACTTTTCCAACTCCCCGACTCAAGCTAGTTTGCAGCAAACACGCCAGTTTCTTTGGCCAGAAAACCTCTTTGCAGGGAACACGTGCATCTTGGCGTCCTTGATGAGCCACTTCAAAGCTTGGAACCAATGGCCCAACTCTTGCTGAAACTGCTGCCAGTGCTCCTGGTGTGGAACTGCTGCCCTTTGAAAATGGTCTGTCAAAGGTGTCCTATGGCGTCCAAAGCCTTAGATTGATCCGATCACACAATACATGTTTTTGGGATACTTTCAATCACTCCAACGTTCTAAACCTTCTAGATCGATGGGTGACCGACAAACACATCTTCTTTCTTAGAAGAACATGCTGCTCAAATTGAGGAGATCTGACTCGGGCACGGCTGAACATTAATTGATGGTACACTTCTTGTACAAAAATCATCTCGTCACCTTTGTGAGACTAGCACCCCCTTTGGTTTTAAGACATGCCAACATCTAGAAACCACGTCCTCTTGACATTGCCCCTTTCAAACCATGACTCACCGCACCGGCTGAGCCCTTGCAAACCCATGTCTTCACCCCATCTCGAACAGGTCGAACGGCCGCTCACCCCATCTCGTGGTCTCTGCAGGCAAATGGTGGGGGCCTGGCAAAAAGAAAACGGCGCGCTGCCAGCGCACTGTTGGGCGCTTTTTCGCCAGGAGCAGCTTGGTGACATCCAAGTTCTAGTTATTTGAGGCTATCTGGGTGTATCGGAACCCACCCTGGCCACACCCCTGGATGGGGAGTGCAATCAATGTTTGGAGTGCGAAACAGCATGCTTCGACGGGTGCTTCGACTGGTGCTTTCTGTAGTTTTTGATGCCATGGGCTTCATACAAGACTCCAGAACAAATGCAGGACGCAGATCTGCCACGAGCAGTCCGGCACTTCACCTTCTGCTCTGGACGCAAGGTCTCTGAGGGTTCCCAAACCCGTGCCATACCTCCGGATGTGAAGAGGGGGCTTGCGCCAAGCCATTGGTGGTGCTGGGGGGTCCAAGTGAGGCCCTGACTCCAAAGAGAATTAAATATCGATAGTGAACACCTGAGTAGGCATTGAAACAATCGATACTAATATATTTCAACTAAATGACACCTACTTCAATGTGCGTACTTCTTTCTCCTTTGAGGGATAGTTCCAAAAAGACCTAGTTGGTACCAGTCGGTGCGTGGAGAGCTAAGACCAAAAAGCTGTGATGTTACAAACTTTTGGAGCAAACCCTTGCTTAAAGGATCTTAAAAGGTGAGCGACTTACAACATGGTGATACTTGTGACCTGCACTCTCAACTCAGGTTTGACTCAATAGAACTACAAATCAGCAAGATGCAAAGGTCTTAATATAGCGACCCACTTGACTGGGCAACATGAACATGACTGGCCAACTGGATCAGTTGAAGTTCACAGGTTTAGTTTGTCCAAGACAGCGAAGGGGACAACGATGCGGGCCGATGCAGCGAAGCGATACGCAAAAGTAAAAACCACTTCTCTGGGAGCCGGGCCACATGTGCTACGCAGCACAAGATGGGATCTTGCATTGATGCATAGACAAACAGGGCAAATAAGAACAAATAGGTTGTTTTGCGGAATCACCTCCACACAACTAGACCATGTTCATGCATTCTGGATGGATGGGCGTATGTAGACATAGTGAACTTGCTGAGGATTTGCGCAGTGGAGACAGCTTTGAGTCTAGGCCTCAAGAACTATTTTTTACATGTGAAAGATTGCTACAGCAAATCTCTGGTGTGTTGTGGCATGCAGGAATAGATCTGGTGTTCTTCTTGCCCCAATAGCTGCCTCCCTCCCAGCTACTCTGAAAAAGCTTTGCAGCAACGCAACGAGCCGAAACCGCAGCCACCATGGCATGTGAAAATCCAACTCGGTCATCAAAAAAGCACGGCTATCTCCCTTCTGTTTTCCAGTAAAAGCCGCTCGTTTCATGATTCATCAGTCACAAAAGGATCAGTTTGTAATTGATCTCGCATCTATTTTATCTACTTAAGTACACAAATGCTGGTGGTCCCACTAATAGGGACATCAGCTTGCGAACCACCATGTCGGTGGGTGTCATGCGTTAACCACTGGCCTCAACAACCCGATGTGCGTCGTTGGGTATTCATTCTACACATGTAGACTGGGAAACAACTAAATGAAGTGAACATTGTTTTAAGGTGCAAGAAGGTGTCATGAAGACTAGTAATTTCCCCACAACTAAAAGCTTAAATAAGTCTTCCTGTCTTCAGCCGACCTTCGAGATACTTTCCTATCTGTTCCGGGCACTCTGGTAGGATGGAGGCCATTGCTAGCGTTGCTAGTAGGTTGGAGGCCATCGCTACTAGTAACAAGAAGCTGATAAATATAGGATAACATGGATAACAATATATAACAATAATAATAGGACATGTGCACAACTTACAGGCCCATGTCCGCAGCTCCTTGCGCCAAGCCATTTGTTGAGCAAACTGCCAAGTCTTCTCCTCTTTCCAACTGTCCTGGATAGGTTGCCACTTTTCTTTGGACACCTCTCGGACTCATGGCTTACGGATACAATCAATTACAATCCAATGATTGTAGATTGATATTGCAAGTGCCCTAAACATGTAATTACATAGTTTGGCATTGCTTTCTCTTTGAAACCACAGCTGAATCTGCTCAAAAGGTGACTTCAACCGCTTTCCCTGAAATGTTTTGATGGCTATAACTGCTTGCTGCGGCAAAGTCGGCTCAAACTTCAGGTCTGCGATCGTCATCGTCGATGTAGGACCTCCACCCAGAAGAGTGAGCGCCCAGTGAGTGCCCAGCGATGGTGAATTTGCACAGGAATTAGAGATTACAAACATTAAAGCTCAGCTGCCTATTCATAACATTTCACAGCACTTTGCGGGAACGTTTTGAGGATATCGTTCCAGGGGTCTCAAGAGAGCGAAGCACAAACAGGCCTGCTTCTGAATTCCAGCTGGGTGCAGTGCAGTGCAGAGCAAAAGTACCCAAGAAAACATGATTTCTATCGGAGTTCGCACTTTGTGGAGACCAATCTCATCTAAGACCAAACAACTTGTCCTTTTTAGGGTGTCTCAAACTAGCAACCTGCCCCCAGAAACACATCCACATACAGAGAACATGTCACATGTCTTGCCTCGTCTCGGGCCCCCCATCCGATCCTCGTTGGTCCTTCGACTCGAAACGGCGGTCTAAACGCCCGCCGTGACCTGCGTGCAAACGAATTCGAGGCCGAGAACGGTCACTTGGTGCACCCATTCAGTGGCCCGAAATGGGAACCACCAGTTGAATCAGTTCTTCAGGTGCCCAACAGACTGGAAAAGACTCATCGAGACAAGACGCGAGACTCGGGTCGGATCGGAGCCTTTTTCGCCTAAGCCCGCCCTGCAAAGTTCAAGAGATTGATTCATGGATTGTCTGTCACAGTGTTCTTTACACCCAAGCACTTGAATTCTGTCAAATGACCAACAAACGGGTCTTTGGACCAAAAGTTGTTTGGAACTGTCTGGAACGATGGGCCGGCCCTAAAGCAGTTTTCTCGTGCCAAGGGCTCAAAGCTCCGAATCGATGATTTTCCAGCCCCGAAGCTCGAGCGGCATGGACTCAAAGCTCGGAAACGATTGAAATCGAAAACGCCTCCTTCCAGGTCAAGAGCTAAAATTTCGGACTGGTGAACACAACCCGAATACAAGTTGATTGTGGGTCCCAAGCATATTCGCAAGGTCACTGCTCACATGCTAGTGCAACTTTGGCAAGAAACACCCGGCATCTGCCTTGGCTGTTGAAAGAGCGCTTTTGAACCAAATTTTGGACAACAGTGCGATACCATATATATATATTATATGTGTACTGCAAATATGTAGCCCCCCCAAACAAATGCCAGCATTGCACTTGCTTGACCTAGCAGACTCATGGATCAACAGCACTAAGAGCTTGACCAAAGGGGCTTTGTGCCATATCACCACTCACTACGACGAACAATAACCGGTCCCTTCACGACTTGGGCGTCGAAGTCCTGTGTACTTTCCCCATTGGCCGTTTCTCGGACGCGCCACCGGCGCTCAAATTTGCGAAGTGAAAGGGTAGTGGGTGTATCATGTTGTATCAAAACAAGAGGTATGGCCTTATTCAGAGCTTCATGACCTTTGAACGGCTTCTTCTGTGCTTCACGAGCACACTTCTACCAATTGCGCCAGCGTGGGCAGCATGACACCAGCACCCACACTCCAAATTGCGCACTGCCAAAAGCATCTGGCAGCGGCGGCCGGAAGCGACACCAACACACAGGCTCCAAAGCTCAAACATGCTCAAGCTGCCATAGACGTATGGCAGCAACCCCATGCAACCCCGCAGCGGAACCTTGCATTAGCACCAGCACACAGGCTCCGCAGACTGCCACACACATCTGGCACCCTCCAGCAGCACCAGCACCCAAGCTCGAAAGTACATACAGGCACCTCTTCCTATACTTGAAGTAAGAGCCCCAAATAGCTCTCGCTATCTGAGGAACAACGCTGATCCAGAGTGGGTCATGGTGGGTCCTCCTTTTGGAGACCTACCTGAAATGACCGCGCCATGTTCTCCAGGTCGTCCAAGCGTCAAGTTCTTTTTTTCCTCTAAGTCCTCCAGCAGCTCCTGAAGGAGCAAGCGAGTGTCAGGGAACAGTCCACTCGCGCTTCGCCAAGCCGATATTAACAAAACAAAACAAACAACAACACCTCGCTCTGCATCATTCACACGGTTCATCACGGTTCATTCAACTGCTACAAACCTGTCCAACTGAAGGCAACTGTGGCTTTATCAGATTGATCCACGAGCCAACCAAGCCGGATGCCATTGCTAGACAAATAAACAAGGCAACGACGTGGGACCTCAGGGTTCCGTGGTGTTCCAGGCGTTTGGGCCATTGGCGTTATTTTCAAAATACATATTATATATATATATGTGTTTTTCTTTTTTTGTATATATATATATATTATATCACAAACATATGTTTCCCTACGGAGCCAGGCGTTTTGTTTTTCACCCGGTGTTCCACGGAGACCCCTTTCTCCCTTCCCGTCTCCTTGGCGCTCGGCCGCTCTGACGCCTTGACCGCCCAGCCTCGCTCGATGAGGCCGCGCAGGCGGCGGTGGCACTGCCGCGCATCCGGTCTGGGATCCTCTCCGTGTGCGAACCGCTCGAGCAGCTCCGCGGGTCCTTGGCCTGGTCGCAGCCCCGGGCGCCGCGTTTGGGGGCAGATGGTCGAAGGATGGCAAAACATCTGAAACACCATGGAACGCCTGAAAAGAAAGAATCAATTGGTTTTGATTCTGTGGCTGTCATGTCTTCCCTAGTTAGATCATGGCTTTTCGGATGGGTCGCCCGTCCTCTGACAAAGAGGTGGTAAAATGGCCGCTTCCCTGAACTCAAGTAGAACATAATCAAGGCCAGGGCATAGATGTCAACTTTCTCATCATACTTCTTTGTCCTGACCACTTCTGGAGCCATATAGTTGTACGTACCCACTCCCAAGGTCATCTGAGTTTCCCCCTTGGTCGAGTGCTTCAAGTCGTTGTCCACAGAGCCATCCTGACTCCAAACCAGTTTGCTGCTGGAGGTTCAAAATCGAAAACGGTTTGACACCCAAGCCGTTTTGCCTTCCAAAACGGTTTGGTGCTGGAGTTGAAACATGTCTAAACCCGTATTCTTGATAAAAACAAGGGTTTGGTGCTGCGGTTCAAAGTGAATCCCTAGTGGAATGTACTTACTCTTGGAAACAACAAACTTGCCCTTTGCATTTTGGCAATTAGTTGCGTTATGTTGCGTTCTCTTTGTATCTGTGCACTCTTTGTAGCGACTTTCAAGAACATGCCCTGTCGCGTCCTCAGAATCTCTTGCCGCTTTGGCCATGAGTTTGCTGGTCCCGAAATCTGTGACCTTTATCTCCAAGGTCTTGGTGAGCAGCAAATTTAGTGGTTTCAAATCTCGATGAATCACTGGGAACTTGTGGAGAAAGGCCAATGCCCGAGCCACTGCCATAGACCATTCGATGGTTCGCCATAGAGGTGGGGCATAGTGGGGCACTTGCCGCTCATCCCTCATCTTGTACAGGTAGTGTTCCAGGTCACCTTCCGGCATGTACTCTGTGACGAACATCACCGGCATGTCATTCTCCAAGCATGCCCCCAAGAAGAGCACCAAATCAGGATGCCGAAGGGATGATAAAAGTTCAATCTCACGCAGGAGCTCCTCCGAACACATGTGCTCGATCTCTGCTTCCTCCGGGCTGCAATCCTCCTTCTCCACCGGAACGTCGTCCAATTCGTGCAATTCACTCGCCAGGGACAGGTCAAAGCTCTTGGATCGTTTCATCTTGTTCATGATCACCTGGTTGGTGTTTTCAATTCACCCTGAAAAACATCTGAGTCATTGCAATCGTTGGGTCATTAATATTGCTCTGTACTAATTTGTCACAACAAAAACTGGCAACAACTTCTGAATCTTTGTTACTCAGTCACCCTCCGCTTCATCTTGATGCATTTCACCACCACCTTGGTCCCGTGCCAATCGGCCAGGTGCACCACACTCTTCAAAGTGTGTCCGATTTCACGTCGGAGTTTGAGTTCCGAGGCCTGAGGTGACAACCGCAACCGCTGTCGTTCCGGTGACCATTTCCGTTTCCCATAGATATGACCCTTGCCCTGTGAAGCGAGAACTGTCCTTTAAACACATCAAACATCATCAAACTAATTCAGCGAGGCGGAAACCTACTCTTGTACTGTAGGGGGTTGACCTCGGATGCTTTCGATTGATTTTCAGCGCTGTCAGCTAAAAGATCCCCTTCCCCCCAATCAATTGTTTCAAATCGCAAAGCGGTACCTCAGCAGCATTTTGGAGGACTACAAAGCAGTGAAGGGGCAGCCTGTAAGGCTGGGATGCGTTCATTTGCAGTAGCGAAACAAAAAGGATCGGATAGGAAACAATAACAAAAATTGAAAGCAAGAAATAAACAATTCAAACACTGGAGCAATGATGGCAAATAAAAACAAGAGTAAGGTATATGCATGTGGCATGAAGATCAAGTTTGCTGTAGACTGACACGGGAACGGCAATGTTGGATCATAAAAAGTAAAGCCCATCCCCCTAGCAAACAATTGGAGGAATATGAATAGTATCACCGCCATAAAAACAACCGTAGCAGTAGCAGTAGTCGTAGTAGTAGAAGCGGTAGCAGTAGTAGTAGTAGCAGTAGTAGTAGTAGTGGTGGTAGTAGTAGTAGTACTAGTAGTCGTAGTAGTAGTAGTAGTAGTAGTAGTAGTAGTAGTAGTAGTAGTAGTAGTAGTAGTAGTATATTATGGTAGTAGTAGCAGTAGAAGTAGTAGTAGTAGAAGTAGAAGTAGTTGTAGTAGCAGTAGAAGTAGTAGAAGTAGAAGTAGTAGTAGTAGTAGTGGTATATTATGGTAGTAGTAGTAGTAGTAGTAGTAGTAGTAGGAGCAGTAGTAGCAGTAGTAGTAGTAGGAGTAGTAGTGGCAGTAGTAGTAGTAGTAGTAGTAGTAGTAGTAGTAGTAGTAGTACAGAACGGGTGCTCCTGGGAGATGTTTTTCATGCAAAAAATGATGCAAACACACTGTGTTTTACAGTGATTTCTTGCAAAAACCTCTCCAAAATTGAGGTTTTGAGCTATTTTTTGATCAACTTTGTGAGATCCAAGCCTATCCCAATTTAGAGGGAATACCAAAAAAACAAAAAAACAAAATACCCAAAAACCAAAAAACAAACAAAACAACAATGTTTGAGACAAAATGGGATCACTATTGGTTTTTGGATGTTGGCTGCATTTTGTGTCAAACATTGTTTTTTTGTTTTTTGTTTTTTTGTTTTTTTGGTATTGTTTTTTTTGGAAACTTTGTCGCACAGCAGGCATTGCTAATAAGTATCGCAGTCTTCATTTAATATATTACTTTTCTAAAACGGTTGCATAAATTTGAGGGTTTGTACAACGGCTCTTGCCGAGTACTCGCGCCACTATGCTTCCGATAGTGTCGCTATACGCAAGCGCTGCGCCGAAAATTTGGATGGTCTCACGCACGGCGGCCATCACTTCATTGCCTTCATGGCCTTCAAGACTCGCATGCTTCGATGCCCCTTACCCTTGCGCTTCAGGTTGCAAGAGTATGGCTTGGAGATCTTACGGGATTGCTTCTTCCATTTGAACTGATTCAAGTGCTCCGTCTTTCCAGCAGTCATCAAGTCATTGTGCCAGGTACAGAAGAGAAGCACTGCGAACCTATGACGGAGAGAGCACATGTCGTTCAAGAAATTGGCATAGCCCCTGAACCATGAGAAGGTCTGCTCCGCCACCGAAGTATTGATAGATCCCAATCTCTTCTTGAGACTCTTTTTGGCCAATGGGTTGCAAGGACATGTGCTTTTGTGGCGGTATGCGTGGAACTTGTCCAACGAGTAGTACTTGATTTGCGAAAGCTCCGGGTTGTTGATAGCTGAGGACTTGTAGTGGCAACAGCGATCGAGTATGAGAAGGTCAACCTTGGGGTAAAGTGGCAAAACCTTGGTCACCGACCTTGTGACTATCTCATTGTTCTCTGGCTTGTCCAAGCTTTCAATGGCCAGGATGCGAGAAGTACACGGGTCAATGACCATGAACCATCCATGGTTGTGCTCTTCCTTTTTGACTCCATCTTTGCGAGGACGACCTGACCGAGATGTGGACACCTTCTTTCCAAGACACTTCATGAGAACCTTTTGATGGCCATCACATACAATGGCAGTGACTTTGTTTCGACGAGATGGAGGAAACAGATTCTCATGGCAGAAGTGGTCATACTGATTCAGGGCCTCTTCATTGAGTTCATTTCCAATGGCAAGGCTTGTATGTTTGCCAATCTTCTCCCATTCAATGGCAACCATGTAGTAGAAAAGAGCATCGTAATGCAATTTCCTGAAGTTGCCTTCCCAACCCATTTTATCGCCACATCCATCGAAAAAGGTTTTCTCATAGCACCACGGCAGCGCAACGGAAAAGTAGATGAGCATGGTATTTCAAGCATCGAATGGTGAAGCCTACCTTGGAGTTGATGAACAAAGCCTGCTCCAAACCCATGGACGAAACCACAACCGTGTTGAGGAGATCACCACTGCGACGACGGAAATTGGGTCCATATTCCATACTGCATCATGGAAGGCTTGAGAAACCAAGCGCTTGAAGACATTTGGTGGTGTCTCATTTGGTTCTTCTTTGCAACGGATGGGTGACAAAGGGGACAAAGGTACTGGCGGCAACTCTGTGGAGGAGTCCGTGAACAACCCATGCCCTTGAACAGACGGCAGCCATGGTGGTAGAGGTTTGCCTTCCAAAAGTGCAGTGAGCCAAGCCTGTTCCCAGTCAAGGTGTCCTTGTTGCCATGCCGATACTGTATATACCTTTCACCTGCGGCTGGGCGAAGAAAAGAAGCATCTGCAGGAAAACGGACACGCTGCACAGACACCTCTTTGTCACCTGCTGGGCGAACATAGAGGTAAGTGTAATTGTGTGTGCGGGTGTTGATGCAAATGCTGGACCTCTTGAGCACGGCAAGAATGTTTTCCTTCGAGGTGTCCTTGGGCCACGCCGGTGCCGGTGCCAACATATCCATGAACTCTTGATGGGTGATCGTAGACTTGTTAGTGTCAGGTGCCATGTTATCTTTGGGCTCGGCATTGGCGTCGAAGTCATTTACACACCACACACGTAGCTGCTGCATTACGAACTTGGCGGCTCCCCACCTTTCTTTCGTCATGGCTTCTTCCAAGCCAACATCAGCAAAGGCCTTCAATTTCTTGATCAATTGATCTTGGAAGGTTCCATCATCAAACAAGTCTGGCCTTGTCAGACGACCCACTTGGCCACGAAAAAAAATCAAATTCGCTGGCCGTGCGAAATCCTGGTTCGTCTTTTGATTTCACTTTGTTGACCCAATACCTGGAGAAGGCCACGCAAATGATGCGGGCCAAAGGTGTCTTGCCAAAGCCCGCCGTGCCATGAAACCCAAGAGACTTCTCCCTACAAAGGCGAAGTATGGGAATGAGTTCTTTGAGGGCACAGACATTGACATCAGTGAGTGTGAAGTGAAAGTCAGTCACCAGCTGAGCAAGTACACCATCATTGGCCAGATTCCTGAGAGATTTTTCTACAAGACGCTCAGGCCACTTGTGAATTGGGCTCTTGGGGTTCTTGAGCTGCTTGGTGATCCATCGTAGCTGTATGTTCTTTACATTCTCCCTTGGCCCTTCTTGCTCGATG